ACACACACACACACACACACACACACACACACACACACACACACACGTCCATACTTGCAGTGACATGTGCACACACGTTTTTTAATTTGCAATTTACATCGTGAATGCTTTTTAATCCTGTGGTGACATTGATTATTCCAGATTTTTGCCTTAGAAAGAGAGACGATGGGAACAGAGGAGAAGCGATGCGAGAAAAGAAGGGAATATGGGTGAACTGGGTGGGTGAGAGGAAGAAAGAATATCATCAAAAAGAGTACTATAAAATGAGAATGCATTACTGAAAACTTTTGTGGTTTTCCAAAACCGATGATCATTTATTTTACTCCAGTCAGAAACGGTAAAAATAAAAGATGGAAACAAGAATAAAAACAGAATGCAGACATTAAAAAAAAGTGATTTGAAGAATAGAGGTGTTGTATTATTGTTTTGTTTTATTGTATTAAATATATAATTTTTGTGTCTAATTTCAGGATGCAATCAAAATACTTAATAAATGTGTTACTTCAATCTCATTACATTGATGTGTGATGAGATTTCAGTGTTTTTAAGCTATGTATTTTGAAATTGTGTATTCTACCCCAAAGATTTTTTTCTTTCCCATAGTCCACAATAATATCAATCAAACAAACCAAAATATAATAGCTCCACAATGGAATGCATCTGAGTTGAATAGATGTCTCAGGAGCATTACAGGGTGGGTAAATCCCTCCTTGTGTGACGGGCTGCATTTTTACATTTTTACAATTTTATTTTTTTGAATAAGTTTATGCATTTAACCAGTTTTAAGAAATAGTCAAAATGACAAAGTTGGATATCTCAGTGAATGCATGATTTCTGGAAAGACAATATGTTTTATGACTTATGGTAGAAGATTTGGAGTTAATCAGCCCGACAATCCTTTGCCTTGCCTTGCAGCTGCAGTCTTTGCTATGTGCAATACATTCACATGTTATAAGTAATACATCAAACATAACTACAAATAAAGCACAGAGGTGGAGGTGGTGAAAATATAGAACTTAGGATGAAAAGGCAGAAAAAGGTTTTAATAGATAGGAAAAAATATAGATCTATGCATACCTTGCATAGTTGTTCACTTAACATTCTTTATCTTGGGGCATTTTATTTGTCTGACGATGTAGCATTTCACACATTGAAAACACACTAACTAGAAAGGCAAATACATCAAAAGATGTTCATTGTAAATGTTCGCATCTGGTACTTTCCCTGTGATATTAAGTGCTTTGGAAGGACAATGTGCTTTGTTCCCTCATGGAAGTCAGGAAGATTAGCAACTAATCAGCCACCCAGCAGCCTGATGAGTCACTGTTGGAGGCTTGAATGTGGATGCTTGACAACATGAAAACTTAGACTCTGGATCTTGGGTCCGAGGGAAGGATATTTCTTTTCCATTCTACACTTAAGACCTAATGCCTTTCTGCTACTATTGTGTTCCTTACGCACATTATCCCGCAAACTCTTGTTTTCATGCGCAATGCAGTTTTGCATTCGAGGTTGTTTTCATTGTCAGACTGTATGCTTGGCTTAGTACATTCATCCACTCATTTATGGACCATGTCTGGGTACATCTTGGAGACATTGGAAGTCCATTGCTGCAATAGAACCGAAACAAACTGCCATGCATGCTCACAAATGCTCCCGGGGGGGATTTAACATAGCCTCTTACCCTCACAGGGATCTCTGTGGAAGAAAGCTGGGTAGAACTTATGCACATCCCAACTCAACACAGAAAAGCCCCTGATTTGAGAACCTTGTTTGCAAAGCAACAGAATCAATATTGTGAATACAGAATCCATGCATATTTCTCGAAACAAAGACACCTTATCTTATCAATAATTAATCTGGCAGGAAAAACAATGAATGATGATATTCCTCTGCCCCTTTCTTTAAAAAATGCTATCATTAATGTGCAGGATCATATAAATACATCTATATCGTGTTAAAACACGTTGCTTGTCGAAGACATAAGTAGACCTAAATGCTCGGGGAGACAAATAACCAGACTGTTTATCACCAATCATAAAAAAACACATTTATGCATGACCAAACAAGACTTTCTCAATGTTTTTTGAGAAAAGCTAGTATTACTGCTCTCAGTGGCATTTTCCTATTAAAAAGAAAACACAATACATAAAATAAAATATATTTCCCTTGTAAAATTCCCCAGAGATGGGGAAAAGCTGATCTCACTCTGGTCTCTGGCAAAGAAAAGGAAGTTAGTTCAACTGAATCTAAATTGCTCACATTCATGAATATGACGCGCCATGTGCCTGATTCTGTGTCACCCTGCCCTCAACAGAAATCGCGCAGAAAGAGTGGGCAGGGAAATTAATTTCTTTTATGAAACAGAAAAAAAAAAGTTTTATGGAGAACTGTGAGTGCGGGTTTTTTGAACGGTAGACAATGATAGTGATTTTTTAACCTAGGCTGCTTATTTCTGAAAGGCTTAAATTTTCAAAAAACTACGTTTGTCATCTCAAAGCAGTACTCTTTTCTCTTCTGCTGAAATACTTTAAAAAACTGAACTCAGCTTTACTATACTCAGTTTGCTTGCCTTTCTGTTACTCATCCCTCCCTCCCCCTTTCCAACTCTGATCCCTCAACCCTCTATTCATTTCTCCTCTTCGTTCCTCTTCTATGTATTCTCTTGTGCAGTCTCTCCTCCCTCACTCTTTTCACTCCTTGTCCAATCACTGTGAAATTGCATGGCAGCTACTTGGGGACTTTACTGACAGAGAAATTTGGCTCAGATCAGAATCACCAGTGAGTATTCCTGCATTCCTTTCCCAATTTAAATGATTTTTTCCAGCTTCACAGGCACACCCACCCAGACAACCAGACTCACAATAACATCATGCGACTCCTGCCCTCTTTCATTTACCTTTTCATTCTCTCTGTCACCCACAATGAAACACACAGAGCATTACTCACATCTAAAAGTGGAATTAGGGAGGTGTTAACAAGCTGGCGCCCAGACAGCTGTTCACTGATAGTTATTGCCTAAATTAGATGCAAAAAGTAGAGAATGCAGCTGGAAGAAGAGATAAATGTGCAAGCATATAGATGGAGTTCAGCAACAATAATAATTAAAACAATATATAACAACTAAACAGTATATTTGGAGAATGTAGAGTTGTAAACTTTCCTAGGGCCATGGCATACCTTCTCAAACTGCAGCCACACTCATTTCGAGCCTCTAGGAAACAGTGGAGCCATGATGCACGTTAATTGGCCGAAGTCACACCGACAAAGGCAATTGTGGGGTATGTTGTTGCATTGCAATTATTATGTGAAAGACAACAGGTTTGTTAGACCTGGTTTTCCATGCATCTGATATTTTTCCTAAATTCAAGTGAACTGTTGTTTACATCTCATACAGTTAAGGGGCAGAATCTGAAGAACTGACCATCAAGCTACCAGCTGTAAGTAGCAATGCCAAAAGTCCATTTTCTTTCATTCAAAGCTGTTAGCTGAAAGCAATATGCTATTTCCCGCTTCTATTAAGTCTCTTGACATCCTCAGTTATTATGAACAAATAACTCGTCTTGCCCACTGTCCTTTAATCTTGATCCCCTGAAACTCCTTAAAGGCAATGAAACTGAGTACATAGAACTTTTACTTTGTACTCCCCCTGAGTAAAATGCATTCATACATGCATACTATCATCCAGGGTCATGCTGAACTGATAAAACTGTTTGTGTGTTTGGTTTATATGAAACTAAAGAAAAGGCTGTCACTATCAATGTTTGGACATTTATATATGTTCTGCTCTTAATAAGGTATTGGTTTCTAGCATTTAAAGATGACATATGAATATA